GTCTAGCTGTCCGTCCATCCGTCTTTCTGTAACGCTTTCGTTTCCACACGATATCTCGACAACCCTTTGAGCTTTTACAATGAAATTTAACATAACAGAATCCCTGTGGCCTTAGGAAGACCCCTTTTGAATTTGGGGTCAAAAGGTCAACATTCAAGGTCGTAAAGAACTACGAACAATAGTATTATTCTTCCGCCTATCTATAAGTCAATTCTCAAAAGTTAACATCTTGGAATGATTCTCAAATTTTTTATGCATATTGATATGAATTTTCATAAAACCTTACTTATTTGGGATACCAAAGAGAGATAAATCTAGTCTAGTATAATTTTGGCAAAACTTGTGTTTTCCACTATAGAAATCAACGGAAAACTGAAAATATTTTTAAAACAACCCCCCCCCCCCCGTGAAACAAAAATTCCTTTTTACAGATAATATGGACTGTCATTTTACAAATTTATGCCAAAGCTTTTTGTGTTTCACAGGGGGGGGGGGGGATATGTTTATATAGACAAAAAGCGAAAAATAAATTCTTATTTTTCACCAATTTTAAAGCTATTTAAAACTAAATAATTGTATTTTATTAATTTATATATGCTTTATTTATTTGCGTAAAACATGAGAAAAGATATTAGATACATGTTAAATGAACAATTCCTATGAAAATATCATGTAAGTTAAATACCTGGAGGTTAACAGAGAGATTATCAGATATGGTATCAAATTAACATCGAAAAGCAGACAGGTACATAATATAATATTCTGATTTTCCTGAAAATGAACATAAATAGACTTTGAGATTTAAAAGAACAAAATTTCGATTTACTACAGACTTCCGTGTACAGTGCTTATATTGTATTTAGAATGCTCTTTTTTCAAATATCATTGACACTTAAGTTTACGAGTTATAATAATAGATACATCTGGGTGGGAATGATAAAGAGTTGAGCTGATAGACCTTAATTCAGCCAGTCTTTTCTTCGTTGTCCGTTTCTAGGTTTTCTTCAATCCATCAGTTTTTAGAAAGAAGCACATCAAAGTAAGGGCACCGCAAAACGGAGCATTCCTTCCCAAAAAGCATGTTCAGTAAATCAAGGCAGCATTTGACATCGATCGCTATACAAATAACATCAATTCCACACAGAAAAAAAATAACATACACATAAAGTTATAACACACATAATCGCATAACTATATCCCATCATACGTTGCGAGGGGGTAATACTGTTGTCTATTTCTAAAATATAAGTCTAATTCCTTTTGTTTCATGAAAATTTTTTCAAAGTGCGTTAAATGTTTACATGGTGTAAAATTATGATGTACAGTCTTAACGCACTTTGAAAAATTTTTTCAAAGTGCGTTGATTTGGTCCCAAATTCAACGCACTTTGAAAAATTTTTTCAAAGTGCGTTAACCTGGTCCCAAAAATTAACGCACTTTGAAAAATTTTTTCAAAGTGCGTAATTTTTCAAAGTGCGTTGTAACAAAGCCCTAACGTAGGTCTCATTGTTTTAGTTCTAAATATTTTTACAGCGTGTTTCCCATGTTGGTTACATGTATATATCTGAATCAATTTTATGTTCTTTTTTGTTATACGCAATCAAAAAAAAATTAATTATATTTTGTTTTATTACATATTGTTTTATTACATTTTGCGTTTTCTTTTCAGTGCAAAAAAAAAAAAATAACGCAGAATGTAACAACGGAAGTGCACGTTATTACATTTTGCGTTGATCTCGACGCAAAATGTAATAATCTAAAAATTATGTTATTACATTTTGCGTTATTACATTTTGCGTTGATCTCGACGCAAAATGTAATAACGCGAAATGTAATAATCCAGGTTTATTACATTTCGCGTTGTAACAAAGCATTCTCAGGTAGTGTAGATTCAATTTTGTTCAAGTCATGACCCCTAAGGGTAGGGTGGGGCATAATGTAAGTTCAAATGTAAAGGGCAATAAAGCCACAGGTAGTCAACGAAATATGCAAGCATCCTTAGTGTAGATTCAAGTTTGTTCAAATCATACCCTTTCCCTTTTAAGGATTGGCTGAGACCACTATTTGGTTTCAACTTTTCAACAATAAACTAATTTATGATTTTTTCCTAGCCACATTGCTCAGGTGAGCGATGTGGCCCATGATCCTCTTGTTAACTTCTACTTCTACTCCTCCTTTTGCTTCTATTCAAGACGCTGAAATATAATGTTACTAAAAGAAGGCATCCTAATCGAAAAAGTTTTTTTTTTCATTTAAATAAAAATGCGCAAGATATATGTTAAATGATTCAATGCACGTAGCTGCATTCAGTTCAGAGTCAATTCTTTGATATGTAAGACAGCCCGAGAAACCCTTACTGACAAAAATATGCTTTTTATTTACGCAAGCTTAGCTTCGAAATCATGCTTTGAAAATGATACATACAAATTTTTGAAAGTTAAATCAAATTCATTATTGCATATTTTTCCATCAGAAAACGCCCTCTGTTCTTTCATCATTTGTAACCAAGTAACATATATTTTCATACCGTGTTATAGAGTGTTCTGACCCTAGTTGGTGCTTTATTCTATCATTCAGTGATATATATATTATTTGAACCAATAAAGGATTATATTTGATAGGGCGCATTCCTTTATCATTTAGCGCCTGTCTAGGGATTTTAAGATTTCGACATTTAAGATGAAGTAAAGAAAAAAGGGTTGAATAAGAGAGAGTTGACTTCGGGCATTGAATTAATATCTTAAAAAAACATCCATTTAAAATATTAATATCAAAAGAAATCTAAATTAATAAAAATTTAAAATTCAAGAATTTTTTTATTTGGGCTTTCTATAATAAATAAACGCAAAACTACTTATCTTATCCAAATATACATTTGACCATTAACCACACTGTCGTTCTAAGGACAATCTTCTGGGCAATGTGATTTCTTTCTACCTGACGAGTTTACTGCACAACTTCAATCTCCAAACAATTGAATAAACACTTTTATGACTAATATAAAATGTTTGTAACATCATAAAGTAGCAGGTGTTTGTAAAGCAATGCTCAACCTTATTGTAAATAGTCATAATGTCGACCAATCAATGTTTATTGTCGGATAATGTGTTTTTGCTCAGCTATAGGAGAGATACTAGTATTTGACCTTTGACTGGTTGACATTGACTCTCCTCACAATTTAATGACTTTAAAGAACATTAAAATACTAAATGCGTAATTAAAATAATAGTTTATTCTAATTAAAGAGTTTTTTTAGTAAAACTTTTGATAATTTATGACAAAAGACATGATATTACATATATAAGATATCTCAATATATGAAATGATTTATAAATCGATTTATTTTAATCCTACGAAAAAGAGGTAAAACAAAACCATGTACATAATAGCTAGAATAAGAAAACACTGTAGTGGCCTTCAATTCGTCCTCAGATATATCTAGGATATTTTATCAATTAATGATAGTTACGTCCATTCAAATACCCTTCTAACCTCCGAAAAAAACATCAGTGTGTCAGTCACATTTGTTTTACATTTAAAGTTCCAATTATTTGAGACCAAATTAAGGACCAATTATAAACTTATTAAACAGTAAAACAAAGGAGATGACTTTAGCTTTTCCATCATCATTTTTTGGTAGTCAGCTCCCTCTCTTTGGAAACATTCAGGTGAAGTATAGCTATGGGGGGAAGGTAAGCCTCTGGGGTTTTGTATGGCTCAATCTAAGAGAACTACTTTCAAGTAAGTCTTAAATTGTATAGCATATGATTAGTTTTTCAAAAATAAAAAACAAGGAAACTTTATCACAACGGTCTTAATCATATTTTTTTTTCAAATACATAGTATAAAGAATGTTATTTGAACAACTTCCTGATATTTCCTGACATCCTTATACAGCATCCTGATCAATAATGAAATGTTCACGTTTTCTTAAAATCATCGTACTAGAATGAATCGAATATTTGTTTTGAAAACTAAGCCGAGAAAAACGTATCAAAACTATGAAAAAACACACATGTATGCTACTACTAGTACTTATACCTCTTGACTTCTTGATAAGGAAAACACGTGATTCCTTTGTTTCACATGTTTCAGTATGCAGTCTTTAAATTAGGTTTGATTTTAAGAAGCCTCGTTGAGGTTAACGTGACTATAGGTGTTCTACTTCTTTAATACGATGATCTTTTGTTTTTAGGTTATGTCAACAAAGCACCAGATGTCCCCTTAAAGCTTGAGAAGCTAGTCTTGATAAATGTGAAAGCAGAGTGAAGTGTTGGACACTGATGTGCTTCTGGTACTGTTAGTCAATCTTTCTTTGCTCCTCTCATATCTCGATCAAATTATTCTTTGTTTTCTATAATCGAAAGCCATATTATGTATAAATTCCTTTCTGTATTGTCATAATTTTTATAGCCTATATACTGTCCTGTTGATGACAAAGACCAAAATCCTCAACTTCTTTCTTTTTGTTCTTTATATTTGTTGAATACATTTTACTGGTATTTTGTACGTCAGGAATTAATTTTCATGATGACCCTGTTGCAATTTTTTTTTCTGAAAATCACCTTAAACATCGTAATATTAATAATTACTTGAAATGTAATTGGTTGATATGAACGAAATACAGCTCAAAAACATTTAACCTGTATCTGTTAGAGCCCCGTGGGGTTCCGGGTGAGAATAGGTCCTCAGTGCCCCCTTGCTTGTCGTAAAAGGCGACTAAATGGGGCGGTCCTTCGGATGAGACCGTATACACCGAGGCCCCGTGTCACAGCAGGTGTGGCACGATAAAGATCCCTCCCTGCTCAAAGGCCGTAAGTGCCGAGCATAGGCGTAAATTTGCAGCCCTTCACCGGCAATTAATGGTGACGTCTCCATATCAGTGAAATATTCTGGAGAGGGACGCTAAACAGTACACAATCAATCAATATATCTGTTAGATGTGACTTCGAAGATGCACATTCTTGAAAGAATTTTTTGGTACTAAACAAAAAAGCAAACAAAGGACATAATATATTTATTACAAGTTTTATATGCAAGTATTATATCTTCTTTCTATTACATGTTTATTTGCTTCCACTTTTGCACGAGTAGCAGCCTTAATACGAAAGACATGACTAAATAAACTATTCCAAGAAAACCTCTGGGAATTAAGCATATTTTCTGTTAGGTGTGCTTTTTACATACACATAATTATCTTTTTTATGTCCTTGACATCTTTTTAACAAAGATCTTTCTATTTTAGTATTTTTGAATTTGATTTACATTCCATGCAAGTCTTTATTTAAGCTGTGAATGTGCAGAAGCTATATTGAGTTGGACAAATTCTTCTATGTTCAGATGAAGATAAAAGACATGTATCTTACACGTGCTTGTTTGATATTTCTGATTTGTATTTATTGATAAGCATCATTTCAAAGCTTAGCTCCAAAACGCAAGAAATTTTCTCAAATGCAATACTATTAATAAGTGTTTACACTATAGAGGTCAAAAACTTGTTCAGATTTTTATCCAAACTTAGAACACATTTGTCCAACTAAAGACAAACGATAGTATTTTCCAAAGACTAACGGGATCTGAGGAAGGCACAGGAGTAAATATGATTCCTTACTCCCGTATAGTTTTTGTGAAAGCTTTAATCATAACATGCTTGTGGGCAATAAAACTGTTTTTCCATGAAAAAGGGGGAGCAACTCAGTACTAGAAAAGATACGAATAAACATGAATAAATCAAAGGATTGTTATGTAAAAATCACAAATGCATGATAACTTTTTGTTTCCATGTGGTTTAAAAGAAATAAATTAGTTTCAAAAAGAGTAAATGAAATGCTTCATAATCAGTAGTTTAAAAATGTTCGGAGTTGGATCTTTGGATTTTACCGGTATTTTGGAATGCGTTATGCTTAAGCTTTTATTTTCCAATATGTATGTTGTTGTAAATGGTTTATAATAATTATTCATTAACAGTAAATGCCTGTTATTTGGCTAGTACAACAAAAAAGACGAGTTTTTGTTGTTTCAATTTTCTTTTGATTTTTCGTTTCTTAAGCTATGCTGCTGGCTATCGCGGAAACTTTTATAGCTGGCATGCTGCATTAACTATTGGTAAGGTTTATTGCCTATTTGGGTGATTATGATAAATTCTTTACAGTATGTACATGTACATTATAAAAGTAACTTGATGTTCAGCTGTTGAGACAAAATTTTTCCTATTTCGTTATTTGACTAAATTTTGAACTCGTTTGATGAATAGATTGATGTATAATGCTGATTTCTAGATTCATCATCGAAATCTAAAAGAAGTAACCCGCGGTAACTCTCGCTTGAGATAGTGTTCCAGTCTTTTATATGATACTGCAAAGTTTAAAAGTCCATTATTGTAAAAGATTCCCCCTTCTCCAAATTTGCATTTCAAATAATTTTATTTAGATTAGGCTTTTCTGGGAAGTACTAATAATATAATGCTTGAGCACAATTTTATAAGAGGAATCAGTGGGATTTTCAACCCTGATACCTCATCTGATGATTTCTTAATAATCTTGCTTAAAAAAATTAAAAAATAATAAATAATGAAAATAGTTAGTAAAGATCAGTCAGTTTTGCATATAGTTAGAACACTGACTTGAAGGATTTGAGAAAGTTATTTGACTCTCCTGTAGGAGCCTCTTGCTTTCTCCATCAGGGGGCGCTGTTTGAATATTCCCCTCATGGCATGACTGAAATCGAACAAAGATCCTTCTTATATACTCCTTGCGTAGTAATACATAAAGCCAGGGGTTCACATTGGACTTCAGGTCTATCAGTCGAACAAGCCAAAGTTCAAGTTTACCTGGACAACCAGGTATTACTTTGATCCCTCGTAAAAATATGTCCATCTACAAAAGATTTTTTTTTAAGTTTTAATGAATAGTTGATGTGCATTATGAAGAAATAATTCTTACGTTTAATTTTTAACATGTTTAACACGTCATTTCTTTTAATTTATACAATACGTAGTCTCTATGAAAGAAAATGTATTTCATTGTGTTCATCATAACAGTTCATACTTTTGCAAGTCTTCTTGGCAACACTTACCAAAAATGGTCCCCAACAGACGACATAAAGCGTCACTGAAATTGCCAAGAACACATTGACATGAACGTCGTAAAAGCCAGTTACACGGTCTGCGTCCAGAAGTCTACCGCGTTGTTCAGGGTCTCTACACGACATGCACATGACGCAGATATAAATGTACACAGTATACACAAGGACCACAATCCCTGTTAAAGCGTACACTGTGGCACTAAATACAGATCCAATACCCTTGTCCATCACGTCAATAAAGCACCAGGACCCGGGATAAAAGATCGAGCTTTTCCCTACAAACAAATGAAGTGATGACACAAGGGCCGAAAAAATCCATATCACCAGCAGACAAACAAGATATTTTCGGCGATTCCACAGCATCGTGTCGTGTGGTTGTCCATGGTTACTTAAAAAAATGTATCGGTCCGTGCCTATACCGGAAATGATCATGCCTGAGGAAATTTGGGTGAAAGAGTAGATAAATGACTCAACTTTGCAAAGATGTGGGGGAATAGTGTAATTGAAATTAGATCCATACCGTAAGACTTCGAATGGGAATACTATCACCTGATTCAGAAAGTCAGACATTGCTAGACCTACGAAGAAAATGTAGAAGGATCGCCATTGATGATGTTCCCGGTTGCAACAAATAACAACAAGAGCTAGCCCATTGCCCACAAATCCAAAGGCGAAAAACACGTATGTTGGAATCCCCGATTCGTGAATAGGGTCTGTAGCATTTCCCATTTATATATGTTCATAGGCAATCCTCACGATAAAATGGTGTCAATTTTTCCACACGGAATATCTATATTTCATTCACAGTTTGTTGGTTATCCTTTCCAATATCATGTTAAATTTACTGTCTCACACACTTCCTGGGAATCGTTTCGTGCATCGAAGCAACAGTACATCCTTATATGTTGTGATAGGTACGAATTTCATTTATACTTTGCTTTTCTCTTTACAGTTTTAAAGGGTTTTCCTTACATATGACATGTGACGGTTTATTATGTGATGTCACCGATTTCAGGAAGAAGTACTTCACTGTTTAAGGATGAAAACGATTGTGTGCTTGTTTTTTATTTTCACAAAATCAAATTCCGCCTCATCAGAGTACTATATATGCAACGTGTCTTTCAGTATATCTCTCACATATTAAATATTTATCTAAAATAAATTTTTACAAGCCAAAGTTTTTATCTTAAGTATTAGCCTCTCTCTCTCTCTCTCTCTCTCTCTCTCTCTCTCTCTCTCTCTCTCTCTCTCTCCGCATGAGGTAATAACATCATCTTTATAATTCATCTCAACAAAAATGTCCAGATATTCTTCTAGGGACTTCTTTGTCAATTTCTATAATAACGGTTGATATATGCACGTGATGTAACACACTCACATTCTAACATTACCACTTAGCTTTCATAATACTAGTAGAATCTATTTTCCATCACCGTGGTGAACAATTGATATCATTAGTAACTGATATTGACCCTTACACGACACGCCATAAATTGATAGAGAACAGGAAATCCCGAACAAATATGTCACCTGAAAGTGTTCCTAAGTGGATACTAAAAGTACTTGATACTTAAGACAAATAGGAAAATTACAACTGCATGTACTGGCCACTGCAGACTGTACAGGATTTTATTAAGAGAAGTGAATGGTAAATCAGTGATCGTCTGATATTTTACCTTTCCATGTTCATAAGGCAATACTTAATAAGATGTTATACATGAGGAAAACAATTTGAAAATAAAAACAAAAACACAAGAACATTAAGATAAAATTTATTTTGATGAAATTCAAATCTTTCAGTTCTCATAATGATAATCATATAAAGTTAATTTTCTAATCCATATGAAATAGTATAATTATGATTCAGTATAAAAGGTTTTCTTCGGGGGTCTTAAATGATATATAAAATAGAACAATCACGCAATAATAAAATAGGTTATCAACGTTTAAACAAGCGGCGTAATCTGCTCAGAAATCCAGTTTTCTCCTTCTTCTCTTTCTTTTCCTAAAAAATGAAAGGTGTACAAAGTCAAATGTATGTAAAAATCATGCAAGATCAAGTTTGTTAAAATCGGAATTCTCAAAGGGAAAAAAATTGAAAATGAAATTGAAATGAAAAGGAGTGGATGTTTACCTGTTTTTTCTGTGGTTTGCCACAACACAATAGCCTTCTCCAGCCTTTTGGCTCGGATCGTTCTCCTATAAGTCAAAATTTATTCACATTACTACAAATGTTGTGGGGGCTTTCGTTTAACTTTTAAAAACAATAAATGAATTATGTTACACAAGCGTTTATATGTCAAATACGTACCATTTCATTGCTGAATTCTGGTTCTGGGAAAGTCGCAGTGCTATAAATAAAAAAAATTTAAAAATCACATAAATTATATTTTTGTTTGGCTTTCCTTGTACAATTGTTAAAAATACTATACACTTATTGCTGTTTTTTGAGGTCAATACAATGATTTAGCCATCTGAGGAGTACAATATTCATAGAGCCCGAACGGCGAGGTGAATATTGTACTTCGAAGATGGTTAAATCATTGTACTGACCGAAAAAAAATAGCAATAATTGTTTTATTATATGATTCACTGATAAAATGATACAGCTCATTACTTGTTAACTTGCATTTAATTAAGTCCTAGCCAAAGATATCAGTAAATCATTGTGTTGACCTCAAAAAACAGCAATTATTGTATATTATTGTTTTTCAATCATTTTTTTCAAGCCAGGCAGTAACAAAAAAGACATACATACCCAGGAATATTACAGTCTGGTGAAGCTCGGATCATAGGATCAGGAACAGTTTTCTCTGGAGCTTTGTACAATGGCTGTCAACGAAAAAAGAATACGTGTAATCTTTATTATAGTCAAACTTTATTATCTTTAAATCCATTGCATAAAACTAATCGGAATATCCGAGCAATGATCATGAGGGTAAAAATATAAAGAAAAAATATGGCTGAGACAGTTAACTCACTTCAGCATATCCCTGATATTCTAGATATTGGTGATCGAGATAACACAATTCGAGATAATGGATTCCAACTGTATATTTTATAGATGCATGCATCCTTATAAATTACAAAAAATATTTGAGGAGATAAATTACATTTACTTTATATTTTCGATATTTACCAATACATAAGGGTTTATATTTTAGAAGAAATCACGTCAGCCTACCAAAAACTTTTATACCTTTGGAGTTATTTTACTGTGATCTTGAAGAGACCTCTGTGTCACCATGCTCGCTACTTCAGCACATGTTGCACGTCTGGTTGAAAAGGTCAGAGAGTAGTGGACAATCTCCGAGCCAATCATGACCTTGACCTACAGAAAGTAAAAACAAAACATCATTATTAGAGAAAACAATAGTCAGAAATGGTAGGACTAGTATACAGAATATAATATGAAATATATTATGTATTTGAAATAAATATCTCTGTTCAATAGATACCTTTTGTATTTTCAATTTCTGTGTGTCATAATTTGCAAATCTGAATGGGGGAATAGCTGACTGTCCTTTGCCTGGGCTAAAAGCAAAAACAAAATATTTCAACATGCTTCGAAAATAATGCATCATAACAATATATATAATATTTCCATCTAAACATATATCACCGTATACAACGGGTAACGCGGAGGAGTCGCTAAAAAGTAAGAGGGAATCGTTTCCAACGTATGGGGGAGTCGATTTTCACCGCTTCGGAGTCAAAAGTGATGTGGGTCACGTCTTTTTTCGGTATATGCAAGATGTATTTACAAAAAACAACTAGCCCACGGAAGGTAGCAATAGTTTAGCTTTCTTTCGGTCATTTGTTCCGGCTAGCATATACGTCTAGTTTTCTCAAACACTTCGAAACTATTCGAAAGATTTCATATTTACGTTGATCGAGTGGTTAAAACATGCATAGTTTGCACAATCTACGACTTGTAAAGGTATTATAACATATAAAACAGCAAAAGCAAACGTTAATCTTTTAAATGCAACAATTGAAATTTGGCTAGACTTTATAAAAATTAATAATTAAGGCATTTTCTCTTCAGACAGTAATGGTTACGTAGGGGGGAGTTGTTTCTGGAAAAACACAACGCATAGGGGAGTCGCAAAATATGAAGAAAAAAAATATAGTGAAATGCATGACCTAATCTGGTGTTGTTTTTTTAAGTTCAAGAATACATGTACAATAGGATTATATATCTTCGGAGCACATGTGCTTGGGGACAAGACCCTTCTTTAGCTCAGTATGTAATTTTCTTACACATCACAAAAAAAAGCCACGAACCCTCATTTTCAACAATGACAGCCTCTCTATAAAAAAAAGAACAACCAGATTTATAATATGGAAAATTTCTTCATAATGATATCAACCAAATTTTTTATATTAGAAAAGTGGAAATCTCTGGCGCGTCATTCCCGCCCCTTGACTTCTTTTTTCTTCGGGGGGGGGGGGGGGGGGGTTAGAAATTTTTAAACTGGAAATATATGCTTTCAATTTGGTCGACATATAAATAATTTATTTTTATTTTTCATTTATCATATAAACACATCTTCAGGCACAAACGATGCATCTTAAATGAGAATATTTGGATTTGTCTGGGGTTTACACTGTCAGTACTACATGTATACATTCATAGACAGAGTTCGAAGGCAACATGCGTTTTTTTCGGACCGAACAACCAAACTGTTTGCCCGAGCTTGTTAGGCCGAAAGCAAAAATTTTGTTTGAGGGGTCGACAAAAAGCATTTTTGTCTCAGAACAATTAATTAATGAATCTTTATATTGTTTATTATGATATTAATGTCATGATGATTTTTTTTTCACGCGCACTGCAGTTTAAACTTGGTCAATTCCGTAAAGTTATGACTTTGACCCCGCCCACACTCATGACACTGTGAAGTAAGCGGTGCCATAGCTCATCGACAGGTCCAACATCTCACTCCACTGTCAAGCAGCGATTTATTTGACTGCTCAGGAAAACAGTAGAAAGGCTTTACTTTTTTTTAGTTATAATTTTTTCTTACAATAACAACTTTTCATAAGTATGAAAAATAAGAATTATAAGCAACTTATCTGAAAAATTTTGACAAGCAAAAAAAAAAAACAAAAAAAAAGGTTGGAAGAAGAATCATGTTACAACAGAGTTTCTCAACCAAATTTTATTAACACATTTGCAAATATAACTATGATTTAACTATTCTGCACGAAAACGTTGGAAGACATTTAATACGTGCCTGTTTCGTGCAATGTATTTCAGGATTGTTATTATGGGTAAGGGCAGGGTCTGAAGTTTTAATTTTAATGAGAGCTATAAAAATTAACCAAGAAAACTAAAGGTACTGTGAACAATGAGTTCACTAAATGATACCCCCGCCTCCCATGCCATAATGGCAAAGTCCATGTTTTGCTGTGGCCGGGAAACCCAAAATATGTGTCGGATCAAAAAGTAAAATAGGAAGTCACCAGGGGCGGATACAGGAATTGAAGTTAGGGGGCGAATAAAGTAGGCGGGATGGGGGGACCCAAAGGCGAAGCCCCCGGAAGCTCCTTGATTCTACAGATTTCGTAGGGTAAAATTGAGGTCTACCTAGAAGACAATTTTTACATTTTCTAGACTAAACTATGATTTACGCTAACTTTGACAATTTTAAGGGGGGGGGGGGGCGCACGCCGGGTGTGCCCCCTGTAAATCCGCCACAGTGTACAATGGCAATATGTAGTAAAGTTTCTGTGAAAGTTTC